GCAATAATAAGATTAACGACTATGGCGGTATCAGAATGTCAGACGTAAATGGTCGTCCCAATAGACGAAAATTTAGCAATATTCGGAAACGTTGTATGCATGTCAGCTAGCGATGTATCTGCCCTTGTCTGTCGATTTTGATTGAATCGATATCTCTCTTTTTATTTTAGATGCACACATCGCTCTCGCACTTGCGTATGCTTACAATCGAGCGCGTCCAAATATTGGTTCTTTCTATCAAATATACGGCAGCAGTTCACCGTTGCTTAAATTATCGCTTTGTATCAAACTGCGTTTTTGTTATCATTCCGTTCATGGACATACGGCACCTTGAAAAATTTTACAAAATTGATCTCTTCGCATAATTTTATGCAACCGCATATTTTTCGCATATTTTATTATCAGGATAGATAAATTTTTAAAATTATGAGAAAAATGGAATGTGCATACTATATAGCATCGACTACTTGGCAAAAATTCATCTTCTTTTGTACTCATGTATTCATTCTTTCAATTCTTTTAACGATTTTATATTTTTTTTATCGTTTTAAACAAGTGTATTTTTTAGTATCCCAAGATCGGCGATGTTACAACGGGAATTTTCTGAATTTGCGGATAAATTTAAAGTTTTCCCGCCGATATGTGTGCATTATACATACATACACACACACCCATATATATATATATATATATATATATATATATATATATATATATATTGAACGTAACGCATGGACCTAATCTTTTGATCCTATAAGCACGGTTCAGCGTGAAATCCTTGGAAGCTGAAGAAGTTAGTTACACGGGACTAATGGAACGCAGTAGGAGCTCTAGATAATGGACGACGCTATGGCGTCGTAAATACGAGTGCACTCCACTTACAAGGGCGTCTTGTTTTATTTCTGAATTTCGCGGCAGACTTACAGATCTCCTAATGGAAAAAAGTAAAAAGAATACAAAGGAAATATGTAGAACCGCGAAAATTTGACAGTGTAAGAAAAACACACACAACATGAAGATTTACGAATGCACTCAAGTTTGATTCTCTTCCAACATTACATTCACATACTTTATGATTATTAAATATGGAAAATATAAATAATTGCAATATTTTATTGTAGATGATATGTTATCTTTCTGGAATGGAAATAAACGATATTGATCATCTATTTAATAAAACGGTAAATCATTTTTATCAATCCAATCACATTATCATCAATTATTATCTAAGAATTTTCTTTTTTCTTAAAAAAAATTTAGTTGATTTTAATTAATATTTTTAGATAGATTTTATCCCGAGATTTTTGAATAAATCCTACTTTATTAAAAATAATTTATGTTAAAGTATTGAACATCAATATTAAAGACTTCTCAAATCAAACTATTGCACTCTTCTGCAAGAAGCTTACTCTTTTTACCTGAGGTTGGTTTTAAATTTTAAAGCCACCTAATCCATTTACCTCTTTGACGAGAGCAAGATCAATCCCTTGTTAACGCGTTTTTCTTTTTGCGAGGCAGAAAGTCGAGAGGAAAAGAAGTATCATGACGAAGACGTCTTGATCGGTAAGATTCAGTCGCCTTAAATCGAAGGCAAACGTTCGTGAATTTCGTGAGTTTCGACTGGCAGCTCGCAATTTAATCGCGTAACAGTTTGCCCGACTTTTCTTTTCCCCAGAAATAGATTTCCGACGTGTCGATTCTCCCTCGTTCCATCTCCGCCACCGTTTTACCAGAGATATCCACCATCGTTCTCCGCTAACGGCCGGGAATTTATGGAGTTCCAAGCGCGACCGAGAGCCGCAGTTTTCTCGTCGTGATAAATGCATCCGCTATTGTAAAATGTATACAGGCGCGCACGAGTCTGTGCATGCACTTTCAATTTTGAATTGGTCGAAATACGGCGAGATTTGGTGGCGGCCGACGATTCCCCGGTGACCTCCGCCCCCGCGTGCAAACGACCACCGCGAGTATTCGCGCAATTCCGGTCTATTGCGCGAACAATGTCTACTGTAACGCGCGACTAAACGTAATTCATCGCACGTAGATTCTTTCGCGTGCCAATTTTTGATAAAGACATATACGCGACAAATTAATAAATTAATTTGAGGGAAAACAAATTTTTGTGACGATCTAATCAAAGGAATATATTAATTGCTGTTATGGTTTAATGTACACATAATAATTATTATTATAAAAATATTGTATATATAAAACTTCCTATGAAAAGTTTAAACCTTTGGATAGAATGTGTTTGTTGAAAATGATTTATTTAATCGTGTTGACTTTTTTCATTTAAAATTGACTTCATTTAAAATGGGCATCACGTAGCTATCTCATAATTAATATGATTGAATCTTAATTTTCTAATCTTATTCAATTGATTAATTATAATTTTTCTTGTAATATTTATACTTAATTTTTATTGGCCAAATTTATTCATTACTTTTTTATTTCTATTATTAAAAGTTATTTCTTTGCTCAATCATCGGATATAATTGTAAACTTTTTATATGATAGATCTACTGATGTATCTTTTTCTTTTGTAAAGAGATTTTTTATTATTTATTTCTAATCAATAAGTAAATAAATAAATAAATGAATATATACGCACACATATATCTTTCTCTTTAAAATTTCTCTAACTCTCTAATCAAGTTGATCGAATAAAGTAATTGAATAAGTGTAATATATATAGTTTAATTTATTTTGCCCAAAACTTATCAACGATTTTCAAAATATTAAAAATCAATTTTTAGAAAATTGGCTCTTTCTTGTATCAGGTTTTCTCTTTTATTTTGAAAGCAATAGAATTTAGAAGCAATTTTTACCTGTGCACGCGCGGATTTGCATTTTTTAAAAGAAGAGTTTCCTTTGTTTTATTCTACTTCTCATATTTTCTAAATCCTTTCGCGTTTCAACGGTTTTTCATTAGGATATAAAAATTGCATTATACAACGGGACAAAAGCCTGTTTTCCATTATTGAAGTTCGAATTAACTCTCACGTCTCTGAATGAATAAAATATTTCATCACGAGACACGACAACGTTCCTATGAGCCACGCAAATTTCCCGTAATATTCAATTGTTTTTTATCCGGTTGGTTATTTTAATAGCATTTTTTTGCAGTATTGTGATTGCATCATTGCAAGAAAAAAAAATTTATAGGGGTTATAAAGGGCAATATCCCGCTGAAAAGTGAATTGCCAAGAAAACAAAATTTCAAGAGTTACTTTGCTGCCTATCGTGTCCCAATAAGTTTTTTGTACTCATTATTAGGTTCTCTACAACAAAGTTAAATATATATATTTTTCTCCTTCTCTCTCAAATATTTTGCTTTTGATAAAAAACTTATTCATATCTTCTTTCATCAATTCAATTTATTTATAATTTGCAATGAACTCTTAATTGATAAAATTAGATACTCATTTCTGTCAATAATAGCACATATTATAGCAACAAAAATGAACGTCTTGTTTGATGCTCTACTCTAGAAGCAAGAGTAGAAGCAAATATATTTATTATTTATTTACATAATCTTGTTGTCGATACTCGCACAGAGTAACGTTTAAATATTAAGAACGTATATTTACACGAAATTTCGCTTAATTGACTTTTGTTGTTCGTTCGTAGAGATACTCGTCCTTCCTGTTCTCCTTTGAAGTTTTCAGGAACGGACTCTACACTTTTGCACGCTCCCGGGTTTTTTCTCAGGCGACACTGGTGGTTAGAAAGTTGGCCGGGAGATACTTCTTCATTGTAGGAGAACAGTTGTTTTTCGGTCTCCCGCCGGAAAAGCGATCCCCGAAAAATGGCGATGGGAAAGAGAGCCGTAGGGCGGGACATTTTTTGGTATTCGGCAAAGAATACATGGATTTACGTCATACGGTGGGAATAAAACTTCGATCTCGACGATCTCATGCGGTCGCGCGCGCAAAAAATCGCCGCTGCGGCAACAATCACAACGGGACAAATTTTTCGTACTGTCACGAGAAAAATGTCTATTCTCACGAGGATATATTTAACCTTTTTCAGATCTATGCGGCAAATATTTCTCTCTTTTTGTTTTCAAAGATAATCTCACATTTAATTTTATATTCTCTCAAGAAATTTAAAGAGAGAAAAATATAATGATACAATACTATGATAATTAATATAGTAATTATCGTGATTTTAAATTCGCACATATTTCATGTGTTTATTCCACATTACACATTAAAACGTTTTAAACAGGATGCAATATGCTGGAATAGCTAATATTCCTGGAAATTCATGTTTTAATAAAATCATTTGTAATTCATCGATATGATAAAATTGCGCAAATAAACCAAGATAAAGTAGACTCGTTATAGAATCAACGCCACTATCAAACGTAAATGCTATTCATCTGGAAATTCAATCAGTTTAAAACCAAATAGCAGATAGGTTCCGATGAATTTAAGCTAATGAAACGTTCCAACACTATCGGAAAATTTAATAAAGTGCATACGACCTCCTAAGGCTATTTCACAACTGGCGTTTGTTGTAAACGCATTTATTTTTCGCGCAACGTTGCGGATTTATTATTAAAGTCGATTGCGGTAGTTGGCTGTTACAATCCTGATAATTGCTGATCGATTGTTTCAATCTCGTTGGTTTCGTGGACTACCATAAACGTCACACTCTACATATATGCTTGATTGTGTGTACTACTATAGTTTCCTCAAAACTTACACGAAACTCAATATTACAGAAACATTATAAATAATTTAATTACATTTATATATTTATACATATAAGTATAATAAGAAATAATTGTAAATATATATTTATATAAATTTAATATTTTAATATTTATGTAATTTAATAATTTAATATTTTAATACTTAAATTAATATTTATATAAATGTAATAAAAAATAAATGTATATGTATATATATATATATATATATATATATATATATATTATTCTTCAATATAAAATTATCTATAAAAATAAATTTTTCTCCACTTTCTTGTTTCAGACATACATGCAAAAAAACTAACATTTCTCCAAAAAAAAACCTGCACTTCGGAGTCCATGGAATTTCAGAGCAGAAAATTACGGAAAATAGGGATCGAGGAAAATTCTGAAATAGAGATGAAAATGTTGGAGAAGAATAGTCGACGTTTATCGGCCAGGTGTTGACTCCGCGTTTATCGAGAGCAAAGAAAAAAAGCATTGGATTCGCTCTAACGAGAACGGACCATGATACATTATTTAACCAGATGATGAATAGCGAACACTGAAGACGGGAAAATATATTTTAGCCATGATGGAGGCTCACGTTGATCAAGCAGCAAACTCAACCGTAGAAAATCCAATTTTCATCGATGCACCAATCATTTTAACAGCAATTGTGCTCTGTCTCCTGATTCTCATCACTATCGTAGGTAAGTCTACTTGTTATTCCTTCTATTCGTACAAAAAGTTCTTTTTCATAAAAAAGAATATTGCTTATAATTTTCAACAATAGATATCTTGACATTTATACTTTAAATTAATATCAGCCAAAAAATTTTTTATCGATCTCCTCCTTTAATCTGTCTTGATCAAATTTGCTTTAATTTTTAACTATACTCGTAATTAAGTGATTGTTATATTTTTATTAAAAGAGAAATGCATTTTTTAAAATTACAAAAAAATCAAAATACCTAAATACTTTTCTATTTAATATCCATGTTATAAGAATTGGAAAGGCATTTCTTGCTATATAAAAAAATATTTAAAAGTAATATAAATAAAGTATCCGTACCTCGTATATACAAATATGTATTCATGTCTACGTTCAGTTCCTTGCGTTTGCTATTGAATATTGATACGAATCGATACGTTAAAATTGAGAAGCATAACTCGTATTTCAAAAGTAATATATAACCCTACCTTTTTAGCGTTTTTACAAGCAAGTTCGTAAAAAGTTTACGACACACGTTACTTTAAAGTGAAAGAATCTTCAAGGCTCTTTTCATGTCCCGAAAACGTATTTTAAAGATTTTAGAGATTTTTATATAAGCGCTGTTTATAAATTTCTGTGCACAGCGCGATATTCACATTCAACTGATTAACGCTGTACAAACTTTCAAAGTAAAAATATGAGAAATAAAAGTGAAAATCATAATTGAATAAATAATATTCTGTTAGTGGTTCTTCCGTATCGAGTATATATTACGAATATTTTAATTTTATTTAATTCAATAAATGCCGACTCACTCTTCCAGCTATAATACTCGCGTAACGTGAGACAATATTTTCCGCTGAATACCGACACACAGATCATACTATAAAATCACGCAATTTTTAACTCACGTTATTTATTTTGGGATAACGCGAAAGGTCAACTGAATGCTAAACATTTTATTAAAATTATGTGACAAGAAAATATGAGAGGGAATATATAAAATCAAATGTACGTTTCTTAATGCACAACACACCATATGCCTCATAAACATAATAAATATATAGATTCCCTTTCGATCCATTTAATTTATTATTTAACATTTGAGAAAATAAGTTAAATAAAAAAATAGAAAGTAAGTTGAAAAATTAAGAAAAGAGAGAATAAATTGTAATTGGTGGAATCTAATGTTCCATTTTACAAGAAGAAAAAAATATATATATATTATATTTTTAATTTTTAATTGTAATTTAGTTTTTAATTTTAATTTTAGTTTTTAATTTTAATTTAGTTTTTAATTTTAATTTTAATTTTTAACTTTAATTTGTATTTTACATAGAGACATTTATCTCTTAATTGTTTTTAATTTTTATATTATAAAAATTATTGTGACAAAATGTATTTTAAGAGAGAGCAACAACTTCTTTTAATTAAACAAGTTAAGATCTTTATCAAAGACTACTGGATGAGTAGTCTTTGATAAAGATAATTTCGTTGCCGTTAAATCAATGACTCAGCTTAATCGAGAATCGCAGAAATCTAAAAAACAGAAAAAAATCGATGCGTCTTGATTAAAAAATGATTGATGAGTCTATCATTTATGCTGTTATTCGAGCGCTCTTCCGATGATAATTAGTGAAAATTATCAATTCGGAATTCGGCGATTCCTTTTTGCGCATGCCAAGCTTCCGGTCGAACAGTATCTGTCCGACGCAATTCATCTCATCGAATCGATTAATCGTTCTTGTTGTCGTAATTATATGCGACAAATAATTCCTCTTCCTCCCTTTCCACCCCTGATCGTCGTCAGTATTGTCGATGATGGTTTCGCGAGGAAATCATCATCCGTGCTCGCATCGACGAGAACAATGGCAAAGATTGCTTTGGAGAACTGACATATTTCCGGATGTATAATACATCACCGAGCAGTGACGGTAATCGCGATATCCAACCGCGTGCTTTGCGTAAACAGAATTTCCGCGGGCAAACTGACATTTCGCTTCGCACGGCTTGTATCGAACTATACTATTCTTTTTCGACTTTCTTCCATGAATAATGGGGCGCGAATTTTAATACCGAAACTTCTGATCAATCATTATCAATGCTAAAGACATTTTAATGTGATCATAATGCGTGATAAATGACATCTTTGCGGCTTTACTCGATGTTCGTCGAAGAATCGATCATCGGCGAATGACGAGCGATTAATATTTTCATAATTGATGTCATATCAGATGTTCCAGGATTAGTGGAAAGTGGACGCATAGAATTGTTTCTTGTAAAAGTTCTCAAAATAAAACTCTAAAAAACATGAAAATTATGTAAACTTGTGTAAAACGAAAAAATTTCTAACTAAATAATTATGTAAACTTGTGTAAAACGAAAAAATTTATCTCTAAAATATTTATCCCTGAAAGAAAAATCGCTAAAAAATAAAAACTGAAAAATAAAATAAAATTTTTTTCCTAAAAGTCCTTTTTCTGATATCCTCTAAAAAATAAAAAATAAAAACTAAACATAAAATTAATAGTTACAACTAATAGTTATAATTAATAGTTATAATGAAATATTTAGGAACAATTCAATTTGTGAGGAATTGTAATTTAAAATAATAATTGCCATAAAATTAATTTTATATTTATAAAATATATTTATAATATATATTATATATTTATTATGTATTTATATTATTTATATATTTATTATATATTTATATTACTTATATATATTATATATTTATTATATATTTATAATATATATTATACACATGGATAATATTCTTACAGATTCTCCTCAATTAAAATTAAAATTAAAACGCGTTTTATTTTTATTTAGAGAAACATGATTTTTCAGAAAATAAATTTAATTTTTAAATGGTATATGTATAAAGTAACATTTGAATGATATATAAAATAATATTATTATGTCATGGATTTTATCAAAAATAGTAAATTATAGAATTATTTAACTCTTACATTATAACATCAATTATATCAATTGCAAATTTCGAATTTAAAAGTGCTTCTTGTCAAATTTATCGAAATTTTGTTTCAAAATTATCTTAATAAATAAATCACCGAAAAACGAAATAAATTTGAGGATCTAAATAATTAACAAAATTTTGTTTCTCATTTAATCCAGTTTATAATTTAAGAGCTAGATGGCCAATTTTGTGAAGCAGGTTGCTCTCTCTCTCTCTTTCTCTCAATTTCTCTCTCCCCTTCTCTCTCTCTTTCTCTTTCTTTCTTTTATAAAAGTTATTAAGCTATTTATTATTTAATAGTTACCATTAACGCGCCGTTTTTATTTTATTTACACCATCGATTGACGCAAAGCCTTGATTTTGCATTAGTAACGTCGGCAACGTCCGCCAGCTATTAAGTCTCACGAAATAAATCCATGAACATCTCCCTACGGAGCCATATATCTTTCGGAAAGGGATATAGATAAAAGTTGTCGGAAAACAAGTAAGTTTATCGTTCTGCTGTAACGTTGTAGGTGGATAGCAATATAACCAGGAGGAATGCGAAAGAGATCCTGCCAGCAACTGTTGTGTACATACATCTACATACATACACACGTGCACGTTTCCTCGACGACTTGACAGGCTCAGAGCGCATTCCAATATTAGTATAGTTCACTGGCTAACTAACGGTTCGCTGCACATGACGTCAGCTGCCGTGGATACGCCCGTTCTCTTTCCCTCCCTCTCTCTCTTCTTCCTAGTGTAGGATAAATTTTATGAACGCTCGGCGAGCCACAAAACCGTAAATATCGTTGCGCAAATATAAATTAAATAATCCCCTTGTCACATAATAATCGTCGCAAATCGAGCGAATGCAATGCATTGCGCCAAGTAGATTCATTTGTCTTTCTTTGGAGTTGTAGATAACGCATGCACAGAAAAAAAGGACGTTTTTATTTTGAAAATATATTTAGTTTTAACATGAAAATCTTGAAATGAGATTATATTGCGTTAATTAAAGAAAAATATAATTGCTTGAATAATTGCTTACTTGAATGAAGCCATTTTATATAGTTCGATCAAGAAAAATATATTCTTATGATTTAATATTTAATTTTCTTGAATGGAAAAGAAACAATATTAGATAGAAAATAATATTTTGAAATCAAATATTATAAATTTCTTAAAGTAGAATTAAATAATTATATATTCTTGAGATGACAATTACAATATTAAAATAAGACTATAAAATTGTTGAAATTTAAAATTATTAAATTCTTCTAAGAAGATTATAAATTGTTGCGTATATATGAAACAATGAACGCGTTAGTTTAAGTATATAAGTTTTGATTTGACTTATTTTTTTGTGTAATTTCGCTTAAAGTTTGCGTTTGTTTATTGGAAATAATTGAACAAATATGCGAAATCAAAAGATAATTATAGAAATATCTAATAAAAAAGTAAGATAATCCATTTTACTTTCTCATTTTTTAGATAAAATTAAAAATTGATTGAAAAAAAAATACGAGGAAAAAATCTTGAATATAAAATAAATAATATAATATCTATAATATTTATAATAAATTATTTAATAATCATTTTATGAATTAAAATTATATAAATAATATTTTCTATGAATATGTATCGCACACGTGTGTGCAATATAATGAATATTTTATAATTCTTGTTCGTAATAAAACTTGTCAAAATGATTCTAAATCATATAAATCAGGCAGAATTTTCAGCTGATATGAATATACAGCTATATTATTCATATAAAAAATCGAACATATATTATTCAATTTAATTTTAAATGATAGATGTAACAATTTAATTTAATTCTAATTAAATTCCTCTATTTTATCTTTATTAATATATAAGCGCTACATTTTCAAGGAAAAATATAGACACGAGTTTTTGAATTAAATATTTTCTGATCGACACTGTATATACGATGTTGACAAGCATCTCGTTCGTTCATAAAAAAAAATAGCAAGCCGATAGGTTAGATCGCCGACGCGAACTGAATATGT